CTCCCCCCTCCCGCAAATGAGACCACTCGCCCACTGGTGACCAGTGTAGACCTCTTGCATTTAAAGGAACCTTTTCTTTCTCCTCTTTCCTGTTGTGGTGTCTCCCTCATGCAGGTTAGGCTTAGAATTCACCACTCAAATCCCTCAAGCCCATCAGAAACGGCCCCCTGGTCCACTTACTGACCCTGTCCTCTTCTTTGGTTTTCCTTTTTTTTTTTTTTTTTTTTAAGAGAGGTATATAGTTGACTGGAAAATTTATTATTTTTTGTCTTGCATGTTGAGGAAATTGGAGATTTTATTTTCTCTAAAAGAAACGGCTATACGGCAAATAGGTCCCAGCTCAATCATCTTGGTGTCTAAGGTTTGTGTGAAAACTTGCTTTTGAGGGGAGGAAGTTTCTGTTGTGTAACACGTCGATTTCAGGAAGTATCGAGAGAGGTGGGAAACTTTGGGGAGCCAAAAAGCACTTCATTTAAAATAATAAATGCAAGGGAGCAATGCTCACTTCTCCTCATCTTAATTATTTTTTTTTTTTTTTTAATAGCTCACTATTATTGCTTGTAATCTATCGTAGGTGGCTTTCTGTAGGAAAACTCTGCTCACATGTCTGAGCTGGGCGGCGTTCAGAGTAGTGCCCCAGGTGTGTTGTTGGCGTTTTCCCACAGTGCTGGAAGCGGCGTTCCCGTCGTCTGGTACCCCTAGCAGCCTGCAGTAGGGAAACTGGGATTAAAATCCCAGCGCAGAGACCGAACCTGTCTTGGATTCGATACCTGGGGGTCACTGTAGGTGCTGCTGCTGTAACCTTTCACCAAGGAAATTCTTCCCCTGCGATGGTTAAATTCCAGCATCGCAAACGCGCGGAGCCTGGTTACCCTTAAATCAGTTTCTGCTCTCAAATTCCTGTTGTGGGGCGTACTGAGGGAAGTTTGGTTGGAGAGCCCAGAAACGAAAGAACCTGTCTCGTTTGTCCGTCCTTGGCGAACAAACGACCGGTTGCCATGGGGAGCGTTCCGAATGCCGCTGTGCTGGATAAAATGTGACAGAGTTTTCCAGACTTTAAGAGGTTCGAATAGGGTGGGCTGGGGGTGGGGGGAGGGCAAGGGGAGGAAGGGGAAGAGGAGGAGATTGCCTGGAATCTCCTTTTCATGAGGTAAGCGATGAGCTGGTTAGTGCATCTTGATTCTGAAGCTTTATTTCTTTTGTACCTTGCTCTGACTATTGCTTTTCCTGGCTTTTGAGTACATTTCCCTGCTCCATTGGTCCCTTTGAGCTGATCTCTCGCAGGTAGGTAGCATTTTAGAAAACGTTAGAGAAGAGTGAAATTTTAGTAAATACGTAAATAAAACTTGTTTATTTTACAGGCTAAGGTGGGTGTGAGGGGGGTTCCCTGTTAGTAAAGCATGTTGGTGACTTGTTATGTCTAATACCCGACGGTTCAGAGGCAGCAGATGATGACAGGAGTTGGCTGCTCTCGACCTGGTAACGTGGCAGAAGCGTGACCGCGTCTCCTGGCGTGCGCGGCACGACCTTTGCCCGAGGGGCGCGAGGGCGTGGGTTGGTGTTTTTCTGTTGCTGTTCTTGCATGGGGATGAACAAGGCAGCCTGCTCCTTCCGTAGCAGAGTGGAACTTAGAGCCCAGGAAAAGAACTTGCTTATACAGAAGGGATTTTTTTTTTTTTTTTAAATGTAATTTCTTCCCAGGGTAAAATTTTGGGCGATGAATGTTGTTTTTTGGGTTTTTTTGGGTGTTGGTTTTTTTTTTTTTGGGGTGCAGTACACAGGTAGGTTGCTGACACAGAGGGAAAAGGGAGAGATCTCCCAGCACCTTGGTTCCCTTGGCCCACCTCCTAATTCCAGTGCCTGGGCAGGAAGTTAACTTTGCTTGTGTTAAGTGAAAGCCAGAAACATTTTGTGTATCCAGGCGCTGACTGATGTGTCTTTGGCCTCCCTCGCAAGCAAACGTAGAGCTTGGGTGGGTTTTGTTTTGTTGTAAATTGGGGAGTTCGATGCAGAACTGTGTTGGAGGGGTGTAGGAGTAGGACGTTTCACTGACTGGCTTTCAGAAGGGTCTCTGGGCCACCGAAGCTGCCTTACAGCCTGCTACAGCTTTCGCTTCTGTCCTTGGGGAGGGGGGGACTTGGCGCACGTGTAAACGCCCGTGCCAAGTCTTGCGGTGCTCCCTCACCACCGAGGTCGGCTGAAGGCCAGGGTCTCGGAGCAGTTCAGAGCGTTACCCAAACTGTTGGGTGCGTAACCGCACCGCGGCGTGTGCTGCCCCGTCCCACCCGGTGCTCTGTTCCGTACACCAGCCGGAGGGCCCTTGTTGAGAAAGCGTCGATGTTGGCCTTGTTTTCCATCTGTAAAAGTGCGTAGGGGGTGTCGCGTGAGTTGAGTGTCCCCTCCCCTCCCGCTTCCTCAAGCGGTTCACTGTTCGGAGTTCTCGGAGCAGTGGAAGGGTTCGTGGCTTTGTGTGGGACCGGCGTCTGGTTTCACACGCCTGCTGGTCTCTGAGCACATTCCTGTTGTATTAATGAAGACTTGAATCGAGAGATTCCTAGATCTGTGGTGTTCAGACACAGGATACTAAGAGCTATGTTACTATTCTTAGTTTGTAAATTGTCCTTTTGATACCATCTTGTTTTCTTTTGTAGGTATAAATAAAAACACTGTTGTCAATAAATCGTGAACTTTCATCTTTATTTTTGGAGTGTAAAACCGTCTTTGCCCTTGTTCTTCCCAGTTCTTAAAGTTAAGGAGTTGGAAACACCTGCTGGCAACCCACTGAATTTTGATGGAAGCGATCCCCTTTCCTGGAATACAAGGAGCTGTCACTGAAAGCCAGTGAGTGGGGGGGGGGATGTTAATACCCGTGGAATGGGAAGATTCATGTCGTTCCAGGGGAATGTGGTTCTCCTGACCGCTATGGGACTTGACCGGAACAGGGGTCGGGCAGGGCTGGCTTTTGGGAGGGTGTTAAAGTACTGGCTTGTCCCCGACACGGCCACGCGTGAAATGGGTGGGTGTCGTGCACGTCGCAGGCCTCCTGGTACTGTAGCTAAAGGAGTGAGGGGCTAAAGGCGGTGACAGTTTCCCTTGTGCTGCCTCCGGTCGGGTGTTTGGGAGGTAGATGCTGGGAAGAGCTGGGAGAGAGGAATTTGCACTGCTTCAGTATGGCCAGCACTACGCACTAGCACCAGATTCAAGTACGGAGAAGTGAAAAAATGGGGGACAGTCTCATACAGGTGAAGAACCTATCAGCCTTCCGGGCCTCTTTGTCTTCCTGGCACTGGAGTAAAACTCTGCTGAGCCATCCATTAGTCAAAAAGGGCCTGGAAAGGAAAACTCTGATCCAAAGAGCTTCATCTCCAGGATTTCTTGGGTCGTCAGTGGAAGCGTCTTCAAACAGGCATGGGAAGACTTAACCTCTTTCCTTTTAGGACTGTACAAAGAGAGAGAGAAGGGAATGAAGGAACTCTGGGGGACGTAACGGTTTCATTGTCTCGGCGCTCGCTGGAGCTGCTGTTGAAGTTGCCAGGTTTACGAACGGCAGCGAGACGCTGGCGATGGAACAGGCCTTGGGCATCCTCCGCCTGCTGCCGTCGGCTCGCAGGGGTAGTGTTTGTCCTCACCTCTGACTACGCCAGCAGCTCCAGAGAATCCTGTTCTCGGGGAAGGAGCGTCTGGGTGACTCGGTGACAAGGGTGAAAATAAGGAATCCTGAGAAGGGGAGAATCTGACACTTGGTGGGAGACAGGTGCTACGAAATTGTTTCTGAGGAGGGGAACCCCTCAACCTGTTGTCCTTCATGCTGAAGGAAAATGTTCCTGTTTCCCACAGTTGCTCTCATGCATGGACCTTCCTAATTTCCCCATTGTTTAATGGATGATGTAGTGTGCTCTTCCATCCCCAGCGCGTCCACCCTCCTGCCAGTAGAGACCAGGGCCTGAATGAAGGGGCTGTGGCCAGCCCCCCTCGGCCTGTCCCATCTCTGAGAGGGAAGCTGGGATGGGAGGCCTCTTGGGAATACCAGGGCCCATAGGCTTAGGTGAAGTCTGGCTGCATGGCGGTCAGCAGCGGAGGGCCCGGCGGCTGGGGGGGTACCGCGGGGCTGGGAACAGGGGCCAGTACTGCTCAGCGGTGTTGGAGGGACGGGCAGAGTGCACCCCCGAGGGGTGGGTGGTAACACCGGAGAGGGTCAGAGGGACCCTGCCAGGCTGGAGAAGGGAACCCACGGGGACCTCCGGGCTGGAGAAATGACACTCCCTGCTCCTGGGGTGGAAGCAGCACGTGCTGGGGGCTGCCCGGCTGGAAGCAGCTTGGCTGAAGGCCCTGGCCGTGCGGGTGGACACCAGGTTGGACGCAAGCCGCCGCTGCGCTCTGGTGGTGATGCCAACAGCCTCCTGAATGAGGTTGCCGCAGGCCCGGGGAGGTGGTCTGCCCCCCAGCTCAGCCCTGGCTGCAGCTGGAGCCATGGGTCCAGCTCTGGGCTCCCAGTCCAAGAGACAGGGATATACTGGAGCAAGTCCAGAGAGACCGTGAGGATGGCTAAAGGAGTGGAGCATCTCAAGTTAAGAGCACAGGCTGAGGGGGATCTTCCCTGTGTGTGGAAGCACCTGGTGGGGGGAGTAAAAGAGACGCACCCAGGCTCTGCTCAGTGGTGCCCAGTGACAGGGAAGTGGGGAATTCCACATAAACAGCAGTGGTTTTTCACCGTGAGGGTGGTCAGACTGGCACAGGTGTGCTCAGAGGGGCTTGGTCCCTCCAAAACTGACTGGGTCAGACTTGGAACAGCCTGCTCTGGGTCACCCTGCTGTGAGTTGGGGTGGATTGCATTATATCCTCTCCCCATCCCCATCGCTCCCAACCTTTTTGTGAAATACAGGTTTCTGGGAGCTGAAAGCTTTCTCGGAACGTCTTTCAGGTGCTTGTGTTTAAGGAGAAAGGAGCCCGTCTAGTTTTGAAAACAAGATCAAGAGGAGTCGTGTGCTATAAAAATCCCTTTGCAGCGCTCCGGTACAGGCTCTGAAGCCTCGCTAAATCCTTTGCTTTATGTAACGCGTCTGCGTGTTCCCGCCGCGTCGCTGCCCTTTGTCTGAGCAACTCTCCGTTAGAAATGTTTTGAAAAGATGGGGTTTTTGCTTTAGTTTTGGGTTTGGTTTTTTTTTTTGCAAGAGCTTAAGAGAGTTGCAACCTGCTAGAACACCGCTGGTTTTCGTGAGCGACTGCGGAGTATTTGCCTATCTCCAGTCACCTTTTCTCCCCCGTGATGCAGAACATGGGTGTAAAAGAAAGAGAGGCGATTCTCTTCCTGCCGTGATGCCCCAGGGCCAGATGTTTGTTCCTCTGCTTCCTGCATCATCTACGTTTTGCAGTTTTATCGCCAGCGATGCGAGTCTGAAAGCCGGCCGTTGGTGGGGAGGGGTCTTTTTCCCCCTTTTTTGTTCCACCACCCGCAGCCACAAAGGGTGTGGATTGCTCACAGAATACAGGCCGCGGGACGTGCGAATTGAGCGAAGCTAAAATGGGAATTAGTTAAATAAAAGGGGATTGATGTGGAGCGCCTTGGTGGCAGTTTTACAAGGTACGTTTCTGGCCACGGAAGTGTTGGGATGACAGAATGAAGTCTTAATCTGCCAGGGCCAGGCACCTTGCTCGCTGCCCCGGGTCGCCTCTCCGTCACCAGGTACGTCGCGTGAACCTCCCGAAGAGCCAGCCCTCGCGGCATCGAGCGCGGGCCCTCCCAGCTGCGGCTGGCAGGCTGCTTCGGGAACGGGAAGGAGGAGGGCAATACTTGTTGGCTGGGCTAGATTTCATAGAATTCTATATTCTGGGCAGAAAAAGCGTCTGAGAGCGAGCTTCGGCTTCAGCCCTGCCGCACTTCATGCCCTTGACGAGCTCGTGAGCTCGGGCGCGTAGCCGTTCGCCGAAGCGTGGCACTGCAGTGGCAGGGGCGTCTGATTTTTGGGAAGCAGAAAGGGGATGCCTTGTCTGTGCGGGTGCCCGTCTTCCTACAGAATCCCTTCTTGGGAACGTTACAGCATTCTCATCAAAAGAAGAAGTAGGCTTAATAATATCTCCGTATGTCTGCAGTTGCTTTCTCAGGTACATTGTCTGCCTACAGCTATTCCCCCCGCCCCTTCCCAAGTTTTTTCTTGCATGATTCATAACCTTTCAGAACGTACCTACAATTAAATACACCTCAGTCGTTAACTTCCCCGGGCGGGGTTGAACCAGGCTTAGCGCCAGTTCAACTTCTGTTTGGTTTCACTGCACATCTAGAGCCCCGTGAGCAGGTGGCCACCTCCCTTCAACGGATCCGGGCGGGATTTTTAACCGGATTTTAGGTGGACAATAAACACGGCGAAGAATGAAGCCGCCTACGGATCTGACGCCTGGCAGGCTGCAGTTGCAAGAGTGATCGGACGCACGGTTCGGACTTACACCAACCTCTTTACCCACCTTTGGTAACGTAGAGGTAGAAGAAGTCGCAGTAGAAGATGGTTTGTACCACCCCGGAGACGACGGCGATCTGGTCGTAGAAGCTCTCCGTGTAGTAGCGCCAGACCCAGTTGGCAATGTAGAGCGCGCGGTAGAGCCCCAGGAAGAACAGGTAGTGCGTGGTGATGGTCTCCGCCTCCCCCGTCTTGCTGATCATGAAGAGCTGGGGAAGGATAGCCACGGACTCCAGGTAGATGGAGAAGGTCCAGAGAATCTGTGGGATGCAAAACGAAAGCGGTGGAGTGTCTCGGGGTCCTGGAGTGTTTCGTGTGGCAGAGCGGGACGTGCAGTGCTGCTGGAGTCGGGGAAAATGCCCCGCTGTGCTGGAACTGGGAGGAGACGGCGCGGCGCTGCTCCATGGATGAGGTGGCCTGCGAGGCCTGCCGCCCTCGCCTTCCCTGCCCGCTTCTGTTGTTCTGCGCTGCTCCCCGTGCTGCTCCCGCTGCTGCCCCTCCCCTCTCCTGCCCCGGTGTTCCTTACCTCCAAGGGAGTGAAGCTGTGGTTCTCCAGAAATGCCAGGCCGGTGACAGGGACCAGCAGGAACTCGAGGCGAAAGGAGTCGTTCTCGCTGTCGAACGTCTTGCGGAACTTCACGTAGATCATGTACACGGTGATGTAGGCACATATCAAAAAAATGACCTGGGGGCGGGAGGAGAGATGGCAGGACCTCACCTGGCTTGCACCTTCTGCACTTGAGTTCCATGAGGCTTTGCCAAACCCAAGGTCTTTTAACCCAGTTCCCATGGGGCTGTGCCACAGTGGAATAGTGGTGAACGTTTTTCCCCCGCGCTGGCTGGTAGATTGACTTCTGCTGGAGATAACTCCAGTGCTCCACTGGAGATTGTGTCCCTCCCAACCCAGGGATGACCCTCGAGCCCCCCTCGGCTCTGTGCAAAGAGGTTGGCTCAGCGGCAGCGGTCTGGTAACGCTCCTGCTGTGCGGACGCCCCGGCTCGATTCGTGGCATCTTGTTCTGCTTTGGCGATACCAAATGTGGTGGCTCCGCTGGCTCCATGACTGCCGTGAGCGGGGCTCGTGCTCGCTTGGCGGGGCCAGTGGCACCATCTTTATCCACCCTCCCTGTCTGTAACCCCTTGGTGACAGCTGGAGAAGGAATTGCCCCTACTTCCCTCTGGCTGAAGAACTTGGTGTCGGCATACCCCCGCTTCCCCGAGAAACCGCGGCGAGTGGGGAGCTGCCTCCCCACTGCCCCCCCCTACCTTCATCACGGTGTTGTAGGCTGAGATGAAGGTGGTGAACAGGTCCAGGTAGCGGGTTGTGAAGACGAGGGCGAAAAGAATCTGGCTTTTCCCGGAGATTCCTGGGCGGCAGGGAGAAGAGAGGAAGGTAAAGCAGAGAGGAAGGACCCGTAGGATGGTGGTTTCCCCTAACGCCGCCTTTGGAAGCGGTTGTACGGACACGCGCTGCTTTGTGAGCTTGGTCTGGCATGTCGGTGCTGTGGTAGCTCTAGACCTATCCCAGAATTGTCCAGCGTCTCCCAAATAACGGGGCAGGCTCCAGCTGACGCCCCCGAGCCCTGCTTTGGGTTGCCGGAGCGGCGCTCAGCGGGCACCTTCGCTGCTTTGGCCAATTCAGGCCTTACTCTCATCCAAACGCCTTTCTCCTCCCTGCCTCGCCCCCTTCGCCTGCCCACCGCGCCGGGGGGGCTGCATGATGCGACAGCAGCCGCGCCAGGGAAGAGCAGTGGGATCAGGGTCCAGCCCGGGGACGCTGATGGAGCTCAGTCACCGCTGGCGGGAAGAGACGGACCACCCCAGCCGTGACAATGGTCATGGTGCTGCAGCCCAGCCCCAAAGTCTCTTGGAGAGCGAAAATCCTCCTGCGGGAGGCTGCTGCCCCCGTA